GTGATGGGAGTGGATGTGATGAGTGTGACGGGGGGGGGGGGGGGGGGGGGGGGGGGGGGGGGGGGGGGGGGGGGGGGGGGGGGCTTACAAGCCGTGGTTTACGGTCTATAGGCCTTGTGCAGAATTACCGTATTTCATTAATTTCCCTAAGCATCGTTTTAAGATTATCATCTTACGAAGCTTTAAGTTAATCCCATAACGTCTAGTGACAGTGTTGTAGGGTAATGTCTGGTGACAGTCAGCCCCGTCCTAATATGTTGAGAACATTGTGGCCGTGTGGATCAGTAAACAGTCGCAACCTTTATGTTAAAATTATCGCCCCTTTCGTAACAATAGACAATAGGCCCTTTGCAGCGAGTCATTCACGTGGTACAAAAGAGAGAGCAAAAGACGCACTGAGAGAAGACCAAGGGCTCACATCATTTTAAATGGTAGTGTTCCTTTGTTTGTCTTGTCTCAGTGCATCCCTTGCTCTCCAGCGTGGCGGTTTTGGGATCAATTTTAGGTTTCTGGCAAACTGCCCATCTACCCCTCCCCTAACCCAACATTTTGCCCCAAGGGAGACGCAAATGTTAACGTTAAGTTAGGGGAGGGGTAGGTGGACAGTTTCCCAGAAACCTAAATTGATCACGGTTTGTACCGTGTGAATGACCAGCTGCAAAGGGCCTATTAGTTACACTGTGTATGCACAAGTACAAAAGTATAAGAAATTTTTGGTAATTTTGTAAAAAGTTTAACGCAAATTTTGTGGGGCTTAGTGTTACGGTTTATATTCTCGTTACGGTGTATAGTCCATTTGTATTACAGCAAGAGGATTTGGTACATTCTCGTCCTCATAGCAACGATCCTTTCGGCCTGCCCCTTGGATCGAGAAATTTTGTGTTGTCACATGACCATACGATTCGTCGTGCCACAGGGATGCCAATTATGTGCCAGAGCGAGCTTTGTTGAAATGAGACCACGTTATCGTTCTTTCATAATAGGGAGTTATATTATAGCCCCATTCACACCAAAGCTCAATCACGTTAAAAAACTGTTTAGTTAAACATGAAAGCGGCTGACTGACTCAAGTTGATTGCAAATTTAGTGCAAATTACAAAACATGATCAATTTCATTTGAATCCTGCGTAGGACCCTGTGTACCAGTTTTCCGAGTCTGTTTTTCATTTTGTAAAAAAACCTCGTTTAACTAAACATTTTTTAGCTGCGTGAATGGGGTATATATCAAGCGTCCTCTTCCTTCTGCTCGCGATCAAGGTCAATAGACCTTTTTACCGATACGGCGGCCGTATTGAATTAATTCAATTTAAGGAGTATTATAGGATGTCAAGGGGGCATGAGCACATTTCGTTTGTATTTTCGGGCGCTTTTCGGGACATTTTTTCTTAAAGTTTTCTTAGAATAAGATTTTAATGGGGAAAAAAGATCCTTGTGCCGTGTTTGGATGTATGGTCTTTCACTGTATATTTCTCGGGAAAAAGGAGATAGCTGTCGGACTTGAGCATCCGCTTACCATTGCAGCATGACTCCCGAAGGCTCAAACTTTAACTTACTGTTCGCTTTGTAGTTTGTCTATTGTTAAGACTTTTTATATTTTTTCCAAAAGGCCTGAGGTTGAAATGAGTTATTTTGAGTGGGTGTTATAATGCGTTTCAAAAAGGGCTGTTATCAGCTTGCACCGAAGGGTTTAAAATATAATGATAGTTGAAGTGACAAGTGAACTAACTTTTGTTATTCTTCAGACAAGGTCTAAGAACAAGAATATAAATATTTAAAAAAAGGTAATTGTTGGAATTTATTTATTTTTCCTAAGAAAATGAGCATGCAACAAAATCCTACGCGATTCTCGAACGGGTTTTTGGTGCCTTCTCTGCATCGGCAAAGTGGCAAAGCCGGTATCCGACGCACAAAAAGCAGTCATCATCTTCACATAGATCATGCATAGTGGACCTTGTTTATCCACCAGAGTTTTGCATAGCCACTGTTTCCAATATCACCTGGGTATCACAGTCATCCCCTAGAGAAATCAAAGACAATGGTTATGTAACTTTTTGGGGGTTACACAAGGTACGTTATGAGCTAAGTGAAATAGCTGAATTGAACACCCTATCTATCTATCTATCTATCTATCTATCTATCTATCTATCTATCTATCTATCTATCTATCTATCTATCTATCTATCTATCTATCTATCTATCTATCTATTATTATTATTATTATTATTATTATTATTATTATTATTATTATCATTACCATGTAATTTATTTATTTATCTTTTCATTATTTTGCTCTGTCTCACAAAGGAATCTTAGTCAAGTAGTGGCGCAATAAACGCGTTTATTCATTTTCTTTGTTTGCGTGCTCTTGGACTCGTTGTCATGCTGAATTTCAATATATCAAATGTTGGCTATTTATAATTATGATTAGCAAGTTAAAATACAAATTTTTAACAAGTGTAAAAAATAAGTGCTGCGAGTTAAGTGCTACCGTAATGTTGGCTTGAACTTATATGTTTGATTAATTTACTGAGTCATTTAAATCTTGGCCGGGGTAAAAGAGATTTTACCAGCGCCCAGGAACGCGTGACTAAGCCCCAAGAATGGCCGCATGGGAGGCTAGGAAAGCAACTCTTTGTGTGACCGATTTTCCCAAGCTAACGGTGAAATTGCCTCTGGCAAATTCCCATGGATACTTCAACTTAGCCGAAAAGAATTCCCCATATTAAACCGGAGTTCCAGAGGCAAGGTAAGTTCTATGGGTTAATAACAATCCATACTCAAAGGGGGTTACCACACAGCTGTTGTGAATGATCAGAACGTTTAATAAATTCAAAAGCGCCTTGAAACATAGGGACGTTTTTTTTTCCATCAGTGGTCAAGAATTCTCTCCTTAAGAAGTTTTGTGGACCCGTACTTTGACTGGCGAACGACGATTTTTCCCTTTTTAGGCGCGAATGAAGTCGACGTTTTTGTAGTTTAAACTGGTCGAAACATTTACGATTATATAACGTTAACCTTAAACCGGGTTCAAGTTTTTTCTTCCCCTTGGGCAACTCTGTCAGCGTGTAACCGCAATTTGAAAGTGTGTTCAAAACCCAGAGCGAACTCAACCCAAGTCATTTCCCCAAGGGGAGCTTTGCCATGGGATAAGTTCAGGCTAGTGTAACCGCACCAGGTTTCAGTAATATGCACTTACTGGCTGGCCTCGAATTCAGGTCGATCATTACACAACGATGTAAATTGAACCGTCAAGAATAATTTATTCATTGGCGGTAGGATTAATTACCCGACAGTTTAAACACTTCAAACCTCTTTTTCCGTGCCTTTCCAAGTGTCCTTGCGATGTATCGTATGTTTCTTGCTCGTTGCAAAGACCTGTGTTTTGGACTTCTCGTTCTGTTCTTCGTATATGAAGGACTTATGTGGATGTCTAACAACATCGTTTTAGTTGGAGAATCCAAAAGTGGAGGTAAAGTAAGCGATTTTGAAAGCTGTATATACAGTACATTACTTAAGTCAGGGACACCCAACGACGTTTTTCTGAAATAAAAAAACTGTTTGAAGGACTAAAAATTACCTTTAATTTCTAAAGCTTAAGAAAGGATAAAAATGTCTGGATAACCTTTCCATTCTTCTAAGATATCCGGAGTTTTACTGCTAGCTTTCCGTACGATTTTCGGAGGTTGTGTTTTTCACGTTTTATTACCAGAACACTGCTGTTGCTTTTATTGGTATATAGACAAAACGCCTCCTAATTTTTTTTTAAAGAAACTACGGCTACTCAGCGACCTCGAACCTTCGACAGGACCCATCAGGATAGCTAACGGTTTCGGATGAGCTGAAAAAGCCTACTACAACTAATTCGAGGCTATAAAGTTCCCCTAAGACATCCGAGCAGATAGATAGTTTTTAGAGCAGTGATAGGCATCTAAAACTTCACGTAGAGAAAACCATTTGAGACAATTCTGACGTGTTTGGAAACTTTCGGGCGTTGGGTGCCCCCAGTGTTATGTGTACGTTTGTGATGATATTCTACATACATGAAAACAGGGGCACCCAACGAGAATATAGTTCAAACCACTTAAACATAGCATTTTTAAACGTATTTTAGTATTTAAACGGTAGATATAGGCATATTTTCATTCCCTAAAAATTTTTCATCTGTTCGGATTTCCTAGCTGAAAGTCTAGTGATCCGAAAATTATAGGGATCAAAACTTACCTTTTCGAAAATTTCAGCCAGAAAAAAGGCTCCCGAAAATTCTAGGTTACCTTTCCAGGGTAAAAATCCGTTAAAAATAGGCAATTATACCATTATTTAGATGTTCGAAAATCCTAGGAGAAGCAGGCAAGCAAGAAATTTAACAACAAATGTTCCGAAAATTCCAGATCTCAAATCGTCTTCCGAACAGATATTTTCCGAAAATTGTCGTTGGGTGCCCCTGATGAAAATAGTCGTCTACACTCATGCTACTGTTAATGTTGTTCCTGCTTTTGTGAATTGTTGTTTTTCATGTCATTTATGTTCAAAAGCCAACGTGGCTGATCCTTGCAAATTTTAGGGAATAGTATTTGCATGATGATTTGCATGAGATCCGTTCAAAAATTTGGGTTCATCTCACTTCGTAACCACTGCATTGTTTTATACTTCCATAAGAAGTTTCATATTTTCTTTATCGAAACTAAAATAACAGCTTCTATTAATTAAAACATTTTTGTCGACAAAGTAACTTTATATGGGAAAAATAAAACCATGCGTTCCCAAGTTTGGTGTATTTCTTGTTAGAAGCGATATGGAGTTTTTACTTTAAAAACGTTCTCAGGCAGGTATACTAAGACTTGTTGAAATATTCAGCTTATACGGGCTGTAGATTTGAACAGATCAACTGTAGAAATATGAAGTATATAGAATCCACAAGAGAGTGTCTCTTTAGTCTCGTTAAAATACAACTATATATCGCCCATGTGGCTAATTTAGATTTTAACTAATTTAGATTTTGCTACTATAAAAAATAACCCGCACAGTCAGATCAAAATACGTAAAACTTTATAAAACTTGTAGATTGAATTCATCTGGGTTCAAATAAAATGTTTCGCCGAAACCGATCGTTATTTACCCTAGATGTTTCCCAGGTACTTGTTTGTAGCCATAAGCCATTTGCTCTAAGGTAGTTTTTAAATTAGATTTTACACCTCGTGCAGAGAGTTGAATATTAAGTTATCCGGCGAGAGCAGGAGCCCATCAAATTTGATGTGCTCCTGGCGAGAGCTAGTTAATAAGATTTACTTTGCAAGACATAATTGTGTGATCCCTGGTTTCCGTAATCGATTTGTGCAGTTGTTCAGGCGGTCCTGCTTCATGGTCCTTGGTCTTGAGTCGTCTGAGGGCAGAAAATGTGCGCTGATTTGAAGTCGCCTATGTTACAAGTATTGTCAAATAACAGTTTAGAAGTGTTTTTCAGCACCACTCCAAATTTTTGTTTGGGGGGCTACGGACCCCCCCCCCCCCCCCCCCCCCCCCCTTTTTTCCTTTTTTTTTTTTTTTTTTTTTTTTAAAATACAAAAAAATCCTTTTTTTTGTTTTTTTTTTGGTTTTTTTTTTTTTAAAAAATGTTCTTCCCAAAAATTTTAAAAAATTTTTTTGGTCCTCCCCTCTTTTTTACCCCCCTTTTTTTTTTTTGGGTTTTTTATATTTTTTTTTTTTTTT